CTCAGCCGTCTGAGGAAGTAGAGTCTCTGATGATCTTTCTTCATCAGGCTGGTGGTGTTGTTGCTCCAGCTGAGGTTGTCATTCATGTGCACACCCAAGTACTTGTAGCTGGAGACCACTTCCACTGCAGATCCTCTTATGTTCAGGGGGATGTAGATGTTTTTGTTCCTTCTGAAGTCCACAATCATCTCCTTCATCTTCTTCACATTGATGTGAAGGTTGTTCTCTTTGCACCAGCTCTCCTGGTGTTCCACCTCCTGCCTGCAGCTGGACTCATCATTGTTTGTGATGCATCCCACCACCACTGTATCATCTGCAAACTTTACAATGTGACAGCCTGGATGGGTAGCTGCACAATCATATGTGAGCAGAGTAAACAGGAGGGGGCTCAACACACATCCCTGAGGAGAGCCAGTGCTGAGGGTTATGGTGGAGGAGGAGAAGTTGTGGATCCTCACTAACTGTGGTCTGTTTGTTAAGAAGTCCAGTACAAATTTTGCTGGGTGATTAATTGTCTCAGAAATTATTATGATAAACAATAATATTATTTAAAATTTGACATTAATAATTAGTAATTATTGTCAAATTTAAGAACTGTTGGTAATTTTTGTGTGTAGTACCTTTTTTGACCAGTCGATGACAGTATAAGTCTGTTTAAACTCAAGGATATGTATCCATCTATCCATCCTTTATCTTTTACCCACTTCTTCCATTTTAGGTCACGGGGGTTGCCGGTGCCCATGTCCAGCCATCACTGTGCGAGGGGCGGGGCAGAGGTTAGAGAGGTGGGCCTGTGATCGGAAGATTGCCGGTTCACGACCCGGTACGACAACATCAAAAATGTGGGTGGGGTAGGTGAAGCACCCAAACTTGCCCCTACCCTTATTCGCCCCACTCTGGGCCCATGAGCAAGGCCCTTAACCCCCAACATCTTTTCTCTAACAGGTCTCTCTTGAAAATGAGTTATCATGGCTCAATGAGACTACCTGGATAAACAAAGGGTCATTGAAAAAAAAAAAAGGGGACATGTCTCCAGTCCATCACAGGGACACAGAGACAAACAACCATTCACTCTCTCACTCACACCTAGGGACAATTTAGAGTTACCAATCAGCTCAACATGCATGGTTTTGGTCTGTGGGAGGAAACTGGAGTACCTGGAGAAAACCAATGTATGCACAGAGAGAACATACAAGCTCCACCCAGGAAGGCACCAGGACCAGGATTTGAACCGGGGACCTGCTCACCCAGGGGCAGCGGCTCTACCAGTTGCGCCACTGTGCTGCCCAAAAAGACAGTCCAGTTTACTTTAATAAAAAATGGATGGATGCATGGATGGATTGTCCTTAGCTGGACAACAGAGAACTGAATCCTTCAGGTGCTTCAAACGGTGCCACGAGACTGGAGCAGGAGGAGAGTTCAGCTCAGAACCGTGAAGTGAGGGCGGAGGAGCGGGTTAGGACACCTGACAGAATCAGAGCTGCTCATTCACACACAACCTGCTGTTCCTCTCCAAAATACTAATGTCACTAACAAACGTAGGTAAATGTTGATGTGTAGCAACCTGTTAAAATACAGCAGAATGCAGGAAATGGCATCTCTGCTACATTTTCTTTTGAGTTGACGTTATGTGTAGCTGTGTGCTTCGCCTGTTTCTGTTTGTACAGCACGTGGTCGCTCTGTAAACCAGTGCTCTGTAAACCAGCGCTCTGTAAACCAGTGCTCTGTAATGGTATGGTGCATACCCAGACTTGGACCGTGGTGAAGCTCACTCTGTACCAGTAGGTGGCGCCAGTGCACACCTTCAGATTTATAACAACCGGAAGAAGAAGAAGAAGAAGAAGAACTGCGTGAAACATGTCTGCTTCAAAAAACAGCTACAAGCCTGTGAGCCATGTCGTTTTTGACATGGATGGACTATTGCTGGGTAAATATGTAAACTTTTGCAGCGTTGTTTGTTGTAAGTGAGTATTATCTGAATGAATTCGTAAAGCTCCTGTAACAAACTCCTGCAGGAAAGCTCGCAGTTACAGTTGTTTTAGATTTGACTGTACTGACGCATGGTTTTATCAAGAAGGCTTACATTTTTTAATATTGATTAATGTATTAATCACTTCGGCCTGATCTTAAATATCAGTAAATAAGATGAAGCAGACATAGCAACGTTTACATCTGGAGCTGTTAGACGATGACCTCAAGTAGAGTAAAACTGTTCAGCTCATCGAGGAGCTGTCACCTTCTGGTTTAGTAACTTTTATACTTGTTACAGAATGATCTTTATTTAAACAAACCTCATATAAATAAATCTCTTTAATTCCTTTACAAAGCTTGCGCTCGTTTAAGCTGCTTCAGCAAACCTCTTTCTGTCTTTTGCTACTTTCACTTTATAACTAGCTCTTTACGATTTAGCGTCATGCTACTTTTAGCATCATGCTACTTTTAGCTTCATGCTACTTTT